AAATTTCTATAAAGTTAGCCACTACTAGTAACAACGTTTTTAGAAACAAATAAATTCCATGCTTATTGCAAAACTGAAATTTTGACATTAGAGTCATGGTACTTATTTATATTAATTACCTCATTATAAAAATTTTAAATTACTATTCATCTTTTTTATTGTCTAAAATAGTACATACAATTGAAGAGGCATTAAAAATTTTAATTTTAAAAGGTTTAGATGACGATGATATTGAATGATGATGATATTTAATATTAAAAAACTTCGAATGGATACGAATGTCGGCGAGCGCACTGGAAAGCTATATAATTGCCACTACCTGCTGTTAATTAGGCACTAATGGAAAATTTTTTGATAATCTCAAAGCCTGATTTAAGAAATTTTATCTTTACAATACTGTTAATTTACAAATTAATGTTGTCAGAGCTAATCGATTATTTGTCGTCATTGAGACTAGCATTGTGATTAATTCGAAATAAATATGTATTTCAGTAAGGTCGAGTTGTCTTTCGATGGGACATTTTAGGTAAATTATTTTAAGTTTTTTCTTTATAAAAAACTTACTAATCTACGTAAGCTGAGATTTTGTGATTTACAAAAAAAAATTATACAAAAATGAGAAAATTCAGAAAGAACTTAATTAATTTACCTAAATTATGCGACCTAGAGCCATTTAAATTTTACTTTACTTTACTTTTATAAAAAAAACTCAATTAATTTACCTAACCTGTGCGGCATGGAGCCGTCGAGGATTGCTTTATAAAAAATAATATACAAAAATGAGAAAAATTAAAAACTTAACTATTGGCCTAAGCTGTACGTCCTGAGCCATTTAAATTTAACTGATTACTCTCACACAGGTTAGCTAAATTAGTTTTTTTCTATTTCTCTGTATTTTTTTGCGAAGCAACCAGCGTTGGCTCTTTGCCACATTGGTTGGGTAAATTATTTGAGATTTTGTTTTTTCTAATTTTTTGTATATTTGGTTTTTCGATCAATTGCTTTTTCTATCAAATTTATTTTCGATCATTTTTCTTTTCGATCAATTGTTATTTGATAAAATGTTTTTTCGATCAAATGCTATCGATCAAATTTTTTCGATCAATTTTTGCCACTCGTTCTATTGTAGGTACTTAGAAATTCACCTTTTGCTTAGTGGCGATGCCGATGTGGCGTTAAATCGTACCTAATATTTATAAATTTAGAATATAGGACGTTTATTTGAACCTGATAGTCTGTAAGACGAATGCAATCGAATGGAATTTTTTTTGGAACTTAAAGGGTCTCGCGCTTTTTTATGGAAATTAGTTTTTTTTTGTTGAATATTAGATAAAACCAAATAATTCTTAAAGTCTTGGTCACAGTAAATTTATTGAAAAGTAATTTTACTTTTCAATAAATTTATTGTGTGCGGGACACTTGCGCCTCGTTTGTATCTAAGAAGGTAGGATATAAAATATTTAGGAAGTAGATAAATAAACTTAAAATATTAAATATATAATAAAATTCTGTAAACATTATACCTATTGTATTTATATAAAATATTTGAGGATAAAACCCTTAATGGATTATGGGTAAAACTCCTAATCTCATTTAACAGGTATTAACAGTTATTTCCTGGATTTTATTCGAAGGGTTTTACCCAAAATCTCATTAAACAGGTGTTGGTGTCTTTGAATAGATAGGCGAGTTAAGCATTTCTTTATAGTTCTATATATAAAATCGTAGGCTAACTTGCACACTTTTTTAATTTCTATTGAATTTTTACGAGAATTTTTGTTATTCCCGTGTCATGGCGAATGTAGCTGAAGTTACAACTACTTTCAAAAATAAACCTTTAGCTTCTTATAATGAATAACACACAATAAAAAATTATATGGTAGTGATATTTATTTTTGAAATTGCATGTGAAATCGGTTGAAAAGTTTTGAAATGAATTAAATAGTTCTTAAAAAGACCCGAGCGCTATTTCACTAATCTGATATGCCAGTAGATTCTTTTTAAATGCTTGATTTGTAAGTAATACAAAATTTGACGATTGCATGATTATACATAGGAAGGAAAAAAAGCTGCAAGTTACAAACGAACAAGAAGATTTTCCATCATCTGCACTGGAAGAAAATGATTTTCAGACTTCAGAAAACAAGGGAACTGTTGACGATTGTACAAAAAGCGACTACATTCTAACTCCAAATGAGATCAGTGTTCATACTCCATTTGATATTGATGAAAATAGTAGTTCTGAATTTTCAACAGAAAAATATCTTCCAGAAAAAGAGGTTACAATACCAGGAAGACGTTATTTTGACCCAGAGTTTTTCTTCAAACAGCTGCAAGAAATGTCAGATCATTCAACATTTGAGTGCCACATAAAACATATGTCTTACGAAAAAGAAATAAAAAATGGGTATTTTAGCAAATTTGTATTTAAATGCAAAATGTGTGGCAAAACTTACAACTTGCAAAATTTAGAAAGTTCTTTAATAAACAATGAAGTTCTTAATTCAGTAATTACTACAGGTCAAGGATATTCGCAACTCGATGAACAAAATGCTATTTTAAATATGCCATCCATATCAAAAACTAGCTTTTATAAAACGCGTGTGAATCCTTGGGTAATTTAACATATGCCGTAATCCTCTTAATTTGTAGTTCAAAAATTAAGAGGTTTACATCACCCAAGGATTCACATTCCTAAGTATTGTCACTCAATTAATAAACATCATGTATAATTATATATATATATATATATATATATATATATATATATATATATATATATATATATATTTTTTTTTTAAATATATAATTATGCACTTTCAATATATTGTGGGCGTCTATTTTTTGCAAATTCGTGATAACTGAAGCGATTGAGTCCAGTATAGATTATATTTTATTAAAACAAAAAATTAACAAAGTCCATATCTACGGTCAATTCAATAATAATAATTGTTAATTTTTATTTTATTTTTCACTCCCTAATAAATATTGAAAATATATTAAAATCTACTTTTTTAAAAAGTATATATTTGGAATTTGTTGATTTTTTTTGTACGCCCACGTTAAATTTATTATGAGTTGTATAAATATTTGCAAATTGTGGCCTACGCCACGTAGACTAGTGCGGCTCTGGTTGCAAAAGTATAACAAGCGCAGGTATCGGTGGGCGGGACCTTGTTATCTCCCAAACGTCCCTTGCCGCACTACACTTCCGAGGTAAGATTTTCATTTCGTACATTCCGAATTGGCGAACGTAAACCTTAAACATCCACAATTAAGTAGAGGCACAATCTTTAATAAAGTTACTTTTAGTACATAAATGATTTGCGCATGCTTAGGTGTCAAAATAAGAGCGGCACTAATAATGACTGACCTTAAGTGAACTTGCAATAACCCTCTTATAATAAAGTAAAATTATTTAATTACAGAAATTCGTTAGAGCACACTCAAAAACTAATAAGTAATACTAATGTAACAATAAAAACACATCTTAGTGAAGGACATGTTCAAAATGTTCGCCGCGAACCTCTTGGCAACATCCTAATCTAAAATAAAAATAAGCGTTATTCGTCTTCGTGGTCAGCTAACTTTTAGTTATTTCCGAAACAATTAGTAGTACATAGTACATAAAATATATCTAGAATTTTCTAAATAATTCCAAAATTGTAAAATATACACATCCTGTATAAAATGTTTTTTTTTTTTAATGTGAAACTAAAAATACCAATCGACGTGTCCGAGCGTTTTTCTGAAAAGGCCTCCATTTGTTTACCGAATTTATTCCATTTGGATGTTCCACACCGTATACATTATTTTGTTTTCGGAAAGAAAATGTTATCTTTGCAAGCATTCACAACATGGCTTTTTTATTTTAAATGCAGTTTTGTACCATTTTCTACATTTAATACAATGCAACTATTTTGTTACGCAGAACTTCTTTGTGAATGTTAGGAATTTTAAAGAAAAACAAATGTTTTTAAAAATATTAGATTTTATTAGATTTGTCGAAAATCTAGTATCAATGTTTATACACAATTTATACATAATACAAAATATTAAGAATGTTGAATAATATTTAAAACACAGATTATAATTAAAAAACTTACCCTAAGTTAATAGATGTCTTAAATTAATATATACACTTACATCTAACACTTAAAAAAATACAGATATATTTACAGCTATTATATACGGAGTGGCCAAAAAGTCTGGAAACGGCTAATTATCTCGTAAATTGGTAGTTCTAGTTGTACAAAATTTGGGGTACACCTATTAGGGGATACGGAGATTCCAGACTTGATATTTGCACTGTTGCCAGATTTGCCGTTTTTCTTATATTATTAATCACTTTGGTTTTTTAAATTCATAACCCTGTATATTCAGTCATTATTGGAATATCCTATTCAATACGAGTTCAAAAATATGTAACACTTATGATTTTATGTAGTCTGGAAGGTCTTAAATAAATAAAACAATCATGGAGAAATGTGGTAAACGCATTCTACCATCGATTAGGGTACTGTCGACTCACAAATGGAGCACATTTTGAACACTTGATAAAGTAACCATTATGTTAAAAATGTTATAATCTTTCAATTCTTACGTTTCAATGTAGTTGAAAATAGTTTGTATTAAAAAATTCATTGAGACAATTGGGCGTTGCCAGACTTACTTTATTTATTTAAGACCTTCCAGACTACATAAAATCATAAGTATAACATATGGTTGAACTCGTATTGAATAGGAGATTCTAATAATGACTGAATATACAAGGTGATGAATTTGAAAAACCAAAATGACTAATAATTTAGGAGAATCGGCAAATCTCGCAACATTGCAGATATTACATCTGAAATCACCGTATCCCAAAATAGGTGAATCCCAAATTTTGTATAATTAGGTCTAGCAATTTACGAGATAATTGGCCATTTGCAGACTTTTGGGCCACTCTGTATAAATGAAAATCAAAGACGTTTTAATTTTATAACGTTAAACAACGGCCAGGAAATTACCCTTTATTAAAATTTCAAATATTCACTGAGTTTATCTTTAATAATATCTTTACTATCATTTGATATGTAACCCGGAAGCCGCAGATCGTCTCCAAGAGAGTACATAACGACAGCAGTCTCTTCAGAAGACACTACTTCGTTGCTGATAGATTTCAAAGGATTTTCAAATAAGGTATCGTCAAAATTAATTATGGTAGAATCCATGTCAGAATTTCTGAGAGGAAATAAAAGAATACTACCTTTTAAAGAATTATTATTTGCCGGTAAACTTGAACAAGGAGAAGGCACATCACAACGGGTTTCCGACAAAGAAGCTGTTCCAACGTTTTCAGGAGTAAAACGGTGTCCTTTAAAGTTAGGGCTATTTTTTTTTAACTTTGTGTAGCAATATTGTCTGTCCTTATTTTTTGTTCTAGAACGTCTGTTCTGGAACCACGTTTTTATTTGGCAGACAGACATTTTCAGTTCACTAGCTAAATTAGCCTTATCTTTAGTAGATACATACGCAGAATTTTTAAATGTTTCTTCTAACTTCGAAATTTGTTTGGCGCTGAATGATATTCTTTTTTTGTATTTGCAGCCAGAAGGGGAAGGTGAAGATAGGGCTGAAACAAAAATATTTGTTGGTTTTAATGTGATACGCAAATAATTAAAAAGTATACATTATCCGGCAAACCTCTGCCGTAGTCCTATGCACAATTTGTTTGTTCCAAACCAAATAGTAGGAAATTATTGACGTGTTTGCAGGCTGGTTTAATAGTAAATTAGATAAATAATTTAAAGAAATAACTTTTTTATAATTGTAAGGTACTATTACTAGTACATGCCTGTAAAATTTTTACCGAAAAATGTTTATTTACAAAAGTCCTTGTTTTGCTAAAAGTGAACATTTAATCACCTAAAGAAAAGTCAGATTATTAATAGCGGATTCGACTCAAATGCTCTTGCTCGATGACAAAGCGTTTTCGGTTCTAAATTGATTTTGGGCAGCATTTTTATAATTCAAATTTATATCTAGCAGTGCACACAGAAAGCAAGAGCTCTAGTTCGACATTGGTGTAGCACGTCTCTATCGTTATTCGACTGGCACAGTTAGCACTTGACATTTCAGATTTCTAACAAATTTTTAACGATATTTATTTATAGTTGCCAAACCAAAAATTATATCTCTATTAATATCAAAGATTTTCCCTTATCACTAATAATAAAGAGAAAGATGGAAATATATTTAAAAATATTAAATAACTCCTAACCTCCAAAATGACAATGGCACTGAAAAAAAGTACAGTTCCAAAAAATTCGAACTTTGAGCAAGAGCGACTGCCAGTCGAACAAAAATTTTACTATGCCTTGGTACCGAGCAATTTCAGTCGAATGCAATAATTGACATTTAATTAATTAGGTTCTGTCAGTCGAACCAAAGAAAACATACCCAAGAAGCGAAACTGAATTAGTTTTCGTATGTACCAAAGCAAGGGAACTTATTACACTGGGAAATGTATGGAAATTAATAAATATTAGTCGTTTGGTTCATAGGAATTAAACACATACTGAAGTAAATTCTTACTATGTTCATTATGTCAAATAGATTATTTTAATAACGAAATTAGTACTGTAGGTACAATAATAACAGTCACAACACACTAGCGAAAGCAGTCGACCTGATCATTCTGCAAATAGGCAATTTTGAAAACAATTATGGAAGAGTGGTGCAAGGACCATTCACTGTCTATCAATACCAATAATACAGAAATGGTCCTGTTCACAAGGAAAAGGATGAAAATTGAATTATAACCTACAGAACTCCTAAACATAAAAGAAAACTTTGCAACACAGGTGCAGTACCTAGGCAGCATCTTTGACAGCAAATTAACATTAAGAAAACAAAAACAAAAGGGCATACATTGCTTATTATCACCTTGGGTTTCACATCCAGAGTCGTCGCATGGACTTACATACGGTGCAGTTGTCTGGATACCGAAAATCCAAAAATTGACAGCTTTTTGCAAAATAGAACAAATTCAAATAACAGCATGTCTCATTATAACAGTAGCCATAAAACCACACCAAACAGAGCCGTGAAAGTCATTCTTAGTCTCACTCTCCTTGATATTTACATCAAGGAGGTTGATCTGATGAATATGACACGCCTCTGCACGGTTGAAATAAAACCTGAAGTACGCGATCTGGCGAGGCGAGACGTCGCTTTTGGCAAAAGGCGCTCGATACGCTCCCACTGCTTCAAGCGAACATAAACTTCATCTCACCGAGATATATCTTCGATAAGCCACATGAAGTTATAACAGAATAAATAGAAGATCCGGAAGTGGCAGGTACGATTCATATCTACACCGACGGTGCTAAAACAAAATAATACTCAGGATGTGAAATATACTCCAATTCCTTAAACCTCAACATAAAATGGGCTGTGAGCAATAGTGCCAATGTAGTTCAAACCGAGCTCACGAAGGTTCTCATAGCAGCAAAAGAAATTACCAGAAACAATATCATTGCTGGGAACATGCTCATCTATCAGATAGCAGATAAGCACTACTTACCCTAAACAGACTACGAATTTACTCAGGGTTAGTACTAGAATGTCACGAAGCTTTGGCAAGAGTATCCATCCAACAATGTGGTCACCTTAGGATGGATCAAAGGTGATGCCACATCGAAAGGTTGCCTTCTTGCTGATTTACTAGCCAATAAGGCAGCCAACCAAATACTTTTTAGACCTGGCCCTTCTATTGGACTGACAACATCGATAGTGACAGACCTAATTAAAGAATATTTCCTTGTGAAATTGAAGGAAAGATGAGATGAAACAAGAAACTGCAGAGCTTTTAAGTTATCCTGACAACACTAGACCAAAGAAATACTTGACTATGACTAGACAGAATCTGCATTTGATCACAGGCGTTTTAACTGGTCATTGCCAAGTACGGAAGCACCTCCATATCATCGGGCTGTCAGAATCTGCACCCTGCAGGGGGTGCGAACAAAAATATGAGACCATTGAGCATATCCTCTACTATTGCCCATCGCTCTCATTTATTAGATGATTTGTTTTCGGCGAGTATTGGCTAACATCGGCCGATATAAGAGAAGCACCTCTTGGTGACGTCAACTACAATAAATCTGTAGGCTGGCTCAAGAGCTAGGAGGTGCCTATCATCTTAAGAGAATACACAATGGTCCTAGTGAGGACTAAGTGCCGTGGAGTAACCCACCCTTCACACGTTACATACCCACGAATACTGTAGGTAGCTGCAACTGCATTTCGATTGCATCCTTAAAGCAGCGAGTTGGTTTCACGGAGTGAGTTAGTCATATATTTTAATTAAATTGGTTTGGTCGAAAACCGTACATGTCCAAAATCAGCCTTCCGAGAAAAACAATAAAAACCGTTCAACGTTGAAACTACTTAACATAGACTATCTTCAAGCATAGAAAAGTTTTAGATCTCGTGGTTTTGCAATGTATTTTTAATGGTAGTTTTTCAGAAAACGAAATGAACTACCAATGACAGATACAAATGAAATATGGACTTGTACGGGTTTTGAACTCTATTTACAGGTGAACATTTTTTGATTTATTTAATATTTATTCAAAAAGGAGGAAAAATACAATATCAAAACTGTTATCTCAGTCATCTAATCAGCATTTTCAGTATTTATGGTTTTCCAAGTGACCATAGCAACTGATAATTATTTTCTTGTTCAGATGAAAAACCGTACGAGTCACGGATATGTACGGTTTTTCTTTTAATTTCACGGTTGTAATCAGCTGTACTACGTTAACGGCAAGGTATCTATTAAGGTTTTTAAGCTCAATCAATGAAGAGACAAATTTTAAACAAAATGGCTATCTTACTTTGAAATGTCAAATTTTGGACTTGTATGGTTTTCGAACTCACCGATTCAATTATTGTTTTGTATTACTGTTTATTAACCGTTTTAATTCGAATGGTTTAAAAAACAAAAAAATTACATATTTAATTAAAAGACTAAATATTTAAACGGTGCATAATACGTATGCGTAAATTATCATTAGTTATTTAGAAATAAAAAAAAAACATTTACAGTTAGATGCAAAAACGTTCCATAAAATTTACGAACAACGCAATGTGTTTTTTTATGTAATACAAATTTTAAAACTATCTAATTTCTAATTACTACTTAGTTAAATACAACTACTTAACTATACTGCAATTTTCACAAAACGCTAATAATAATATACCAAACGTTGCTCTACATAAAGTGACAGCTATATTTGACGTTAAACCACCTCTAAAACACTGAGAAAACTTGGCAGTTTTTTGTCTACGAATCGCCCATTTAGATTCGCTTCTTGGGTAGGTATTCTTTGGTCAAACAAACACCACTTAAAAAAAAACGAATTAAATGCGCATTAATGCAGCCAGTCAAATCCGCTATAAGTGACAGACATTAAAATTTCAGGGAATTTATACTAATCGGTATTTTTTATTATAAATGAATTTTCCAAACATAAAAATTAAATAATTGACATGATATATGTTTTGGGAAAATCAAACAGAAATTGTTTATTGCCAAAACTAAATTTATCATCAACAATATTCCGATATGCGTATCCCGAATCGAAAAGTTTTTAAAAATTTCATGCAAGATTTACAGAAACTGGAAATGCTGCTTATAAAAACAAAACAATTATTGTGAAACATGCTACTAATGATGATAGCCAATTCTGTTACATAAAAGGTGGTATGTATGTCAAAAATGAATTAGCATAAGTCAAATATGAACTGGAAAAATTATAAATCAGCACCATTACTATCGTTACGAAATACAGTAAAGTTTATTAAGAGCTGCGAGACACCAATTTTAATAAACTAATGCGGTTTTGTAACTGAGTACTATTTAATCTACTACAAAATTCAATTTTTGAGTGTTGTTTTCTGATAAATTCGCATTTCACACTGGCAATTTCTCGACCACGAGTCTTGTTTGAATTTACTTTTTATCGACTTCAGATAGGCGTAGAAAAATATATGAGGAAGTCAAAGGGTATTTAAAATTTGGAAAAAGTGTTCTGGAAATATTTTGAAACTGAAACTAATGTTTGATCACCATATACAAAATAAAACTTTTTCTTAAAATAATTTGATCTATTGATTTCATGTATTCGTTAAATCTGAAAAAGCAGATCATTTTTAACTATAAGTATGAAAATATATAATTATTCAATATAAAATGGGTTAAAGAGAGCAGTTAATTATGAAATAAAAGCCCTTCAGCCTTAAGATTTTATTTATCAAATATTTACCAATTATTATTATTGTGTATAGTAATGCATAATCTGTTGCAATTTGATTATATATGACACATTATTTTAAAAGTGACCTATAGTTATTTTATTTTGCATATAATCTGTTACAGTATTTTCTTTCATATAATTAGTCTATATTTTTTTTGCATCTTTTCTAGGATTTAGATATAACTCGCACTCTTGCGTAACGCAGTCGTAGTGATTTGCCCCTAATGATGGATAGCAATTCAAATATATTCGGGTTTATTTTATTTACTTTTCTATTTAAATGATTGAGCCAACCTACCAGTGAGTTTGT